ACAGACGCGAACGCGAAGACCAATTTTGGTCTGCAACAGCTGGGCAATTTTCTGCAATATTTTCAAAGTTCAAAACCTCCGTTAGCCATCCGAAATCATCCCGAGGCCCCCGGGACCTCAACCAAAGGCACCAACATATCCCAAAACATCATACGAACTTGTTCCCATCATCAAACCACATCAAACAACGCTAAAACCATCAAATCACATCAAATTCAAGCCTAAGTTTCTTAAAAACTTCCGAATTACGCATTCGATCAAAAACCCGACCAAACGACGTCCGAATGACCTGAAAATTTGCAGACATATCCAAAATCACCTAACGAAGCTACTGCAACTCTCGAAATTCCATTCCGACCCTCGGATCAAATTCTCACCCATCCACCGGAATTCGCCAAAATGCCAACTTTGCCAATTCAAGCCTAATTCTACTCCGGACCTCCGAAATCACTTCCGATCGCACTCCTAAGTCACAAATCACCTCCCGAAGCTAACCGAATCACCGGAATTCACATCCGAGCCTTCTAACTAATAAGTCAACGTTCGGTTGACTTTTCCAAACCTAACCTTCCTTAAAGAGACTAAGTGTCTCATTTCCTATCCAAACCAATTCAATTAGACTCTAACTCACCCGTTGCTGATAATAAAACATGAAAGAGCAATAAATGGGGGAAACGGGGCTGTAATACATGAGACGACGGGTTGGGTCGTCACATCGTTCCAATTAACTTATACTCCCCTCAGCTATTTTACCGTATATTTGATACCTTTTATTAGCACATATAGGGATGTTCACGATTCAGTTTGGTCGGTTTTTTATTAAAACCAAAACCATACTAATTTAATCGATTTTAAAAAACTTAAAATCAAAACCAACCCAATTAAATAGAAATCATCGGTTTGATTGTTATTGGTTTGGTTCCATTTTTTGATTATTAGTAAGCTAATGATAAGTCGATAACCAGACAACAATGTGGAAATAATTTCCTAAATTTATGCTTCTTTATATAGTTCTTTCAGAACTTAAAGTTCATTTACCTGTTTGAATGAAAAGAATGAAAAAAAACAAACTAAAAAGTAGACTAAAGTTACATCTCGACTGAAAGAAAATGCCATTAGGTTCCGAGTAAAACAAAAAAGAAAGCTTGCAATTTAGAACTGTCGCAAGCCGTAGCCAACTATAAAATTTGCTAAAAAGGAACTTCACATACTTTATTTTGTAGCGAGGATCCAACACAACAACAATAAATAACAGGATATTTATATCCTTAAAATCAACCCAATATTTGTCAAACTTAAATTTCATCTTCTTAGCCATATTAGTCAAGATAGAATCAGCACCATCAGAATATTGGACAATTAAACTTTGAAGATTAAAAAGCTCATGAAACAAAGAATTAGAGGTAATATGTGAAGTTACTAAAAAATTTAAAGAGGTTTAGTAAAAAATTTCAAAAAACATGAGAAAGACTTTCACATTCTGCTAATCATCTTAATATGGATGCCATGTCATTCCACTCAATTCTAGTCGATAGTAAAATATTTCTGATCATCAATATATATTTTTAATAAGGCTTTTTCAAATTTTGCTACAGTATTTGACATCGAATATGTAGAGTTCCACCTTGTCTCAACATTCAAACTCAAAAGGCCATGAGTATCTAATTTGACCTTCTTAACATTTGACTTAAAGAAGTAGATCTCGCAGGAGAAGACTTCACATATTTCACAGTCATCCTCACCCAAAAAATAAACTCATATTGCCCACTTTTCTTTTACAATCAAATTTAGGATGTGGGAATTACACCTAATATGCAAAAATTATTTTTCAAGATGACATCTTTCAATCATTAATCCTATCTTTCAAGAAATTGAATGTAGTATCATTAGCTGTCGCATTATCTAGCGTCATTGTGAATTATTTTTCACTCACCCAATCTAACAAACAAGCCTCAAGCCACTTACCAATTGTTTCAACCCTTATGATCTGTAGTTTGAAAAAAGTTAAGATTTTGTTTTGCAAATTTCATTCATCGTCAATCCAATGGGCAGTAATGACCATATAATTTCAAATTTTGAATTGATATCCATGTATTACTAGTAGGGTGAGCGACGGCCGGTTCGGTTTGTTCGATTTACGATTTTCTATTTGGTGCACCAATAACCGAAACCAAAATTAGTTCGGGTTCTTCGGTTTTTGCTAATTCGGTTTGGTCGACTTTTGGTTCAAATTTGGCCGGTTTGGTTTTGTCGTTTTGAGTTTTTAAATCAGACTTTTTCTACTAAAAAATATGACTAATTTCACAATTTAGTGCAACTAAAACTCAAAAATGTGTACTTATAATATGATTTGCCAAATCATTTGGTTGATGTAGGAAATATAAATTTATTTGATAAATATTACGTACAATATAACTATCTCGTAGACAGCAACATTAGCGACGCGTAAGCAAACAAAAATAAAAGATGCATTAACAAACAAAAAGGGATAATTTTTAGAATGCGGGACTTTATTTGGGTTTGGGCTTCAAATTTTATAAGGTAAATATATGAAAAAGTTGGGCTAGACAACTTAAGAGGAGCCCAACGGCTAGGACTAGGGCTGTTCATTCGAATCAGATATCCGAGATCTGAACCGATCCATTCAATTTAAGATTTTGAATTCGGGTTGGATTGGATTTCGGATTGTGTTTATTAAACTTTCGAATTTCGGATCGGATTCAAATTGGTATATTTTAATCTGATCCAATCCGAAATCCGAAATTATTAGGGCATGTATAAATACTACATTTTAATTTCGGATAGTCAGTACTTCCTTTACATCAACCTCCAAGTTTTTACCTTTACAATTGCTAGATTTAGCTATATTAGCACCATAGTACTCTCATAATTGCATAAACATAAATTTTTCTTAATGTATTGTCTATTTTACCAAGAAAATATACATATTAGTTTAACTTTGAGGCATAATAATACGATCCGCAATCTGATCCGATCCAAACTTTAAAATTCAAGCTGATCCGATATAATTCGGATCGGATTCGGATTGCATTTTCTAAAATTCGAAATTCGAATCCGAAATGTGCTAAATCCAATCCGATCTAATCCGTGCACAACCCTAGCTAGGACCCGTATTAGAAAACTTTGATTTTTCGGTTTAAACGTAAACCGAAGTTGCAAGCCGAACATCGAAATTATAGAAAACATAAATCGCAAACCGACCTAATAAGTCGTAAAATCAAAACCGAATGAAGCGAAGTGTACGGTTCGGTCATTTTTTCGGTTCGATCGGTATTATGCTCACCCCCTAATCACTAGTAAGACACACATTGATCTCTAATAAGTCTTTTAAGCTTCTGTCTCTTGATAAATTTTTGATTATTACCTAGCAATAGTAATGCAAGAAGGCAAATTATAATTAGGAAAAATAACCGATATTAATCTTTCAAAGCCTTCCTCCTCAACAACTTTAAATGATTGTTCATCAATTATAATAAACTCGGTAATCGCCCTTCTAACATTAGCAACATTATAAGCAACCGTTTCTAAACTTCCTTGTCCCCCTCCTTTAACATGTATAACTTTGAATGTTGGTTGCTTTGTATCAATTATCCTGAAAGGGGACTTATCACACCTGCTGGTTAAATATACCCAAAGGTTAAAAGTTTCATTCCTGCCAGGACAAGCAAAGTCTTTAGGACAATAATTGTATTTTGCCCTCAGATCACCCTTTTTATCAGTAAACTTTGTGAAATATGGCCAAATTTTAGATTTTCACCGACCATTCCCCTAGGGCTATGGTCTCAGACTACGCGGAGTTGTTTTTTTTCTTTTTAAGAGAATTGCACGTAATAGAAGTATTAGGAGTGTTACCACGTGCTTGAGTTGCCGCATGTGTTGATGTAGATGGAGTAATATTATCTAAGGTGACCTCTAGATCTTTAACCTCTGTCGTTTTCATCTGGAAAAAATTAGAACTGATTTTATTAGATGTCAAGAATAAATATTGATTTACATCACATTATTGAATCAATCAAAATTCAAGTGAGTAACAAAGAAAAATTAGGTTCTTAAAAAGCTTCTCAAGCTTTGGCCACGGTAGTCTTACAATTTGAGTTTGCTTTCTTCATTCTTCAGGTAGTTTTCTTTTAATTCTTCTGTCAGGCAAAAATATGTGCGTCGGGTTATAGAATTAGAGTCTCTGAAGAAAAAAAAAATTGCCCGATGTTCTTTTGTTTTGGGCTTGGACAATTTTTTAAGATATATAAGTAGGATAAATCAAAGTTCAAAATAGTGATTAAAATACATAAAATTATTTACAAAGAGATATTATCCTACATATAAATAATTATCAAATTATGTACATAATTATCGGTTTGGTTCGGTTTGTTTTTTTCTTTTTTTATAATAGAATCAAAACCAAACCAAATATTATCGATTTTTAAAATTTAAAATCAAAACGAATCCTAATCAAGAAGAATGTCGGTTACTTAATCAGTTTGGTTCGATTTTTGGTTTGGATCGCTTTTCCGTCAAACCGTGAACAAGCCTAAGCACAGGTACAAACTAATCTTATCTACTATTTCTAAAATTTGAATTTGAAATCTCATGATTTTTCGTCACTCGTATATTTATTAATATAGTTTGAATACAATTAAGTTTTTATCCTACAATATTTGATACCTTTTAATAGTGCAAGTACAGAATAATTCTATCTGCTTAGATTTAAAGTGTGAATTTGAGATCCCATAATTTTTCTTTCCTTATACATTTTTTGATTTAGTGTGAATATAATTAAAATTTTTTTCCTACAATAACTATTAGTCTTATTAAATACTTGAAAGTACTTAAAAACACATCAATTTAATGTGAACACTGATCCCTCATCATTTGACGCGTGTCCATTCCAGCTGTATATCAGTAACTGTCTATTCCTCTCATCTAACCGATCATACCCCAACCCCATCTCGTATATATACCCCCATCTCCCCCCACCAAGTCTTTACCAAGTAAACGGTGAGCCCCGCCTCCCCACAACCACCCCTGCTTCATTTATTCTATACCCCTTCGCCGGAAATAGTTACCGGAATCCTCCATTTCCGGTATTTCAAAGCTCGCCGTTGATTATTTACAATTCGATGGAAACGATTAAGGAAACAAGTCGGGTCAAGGGTCCATGGAATCCTGAAGAGGATGAGTTATTGCAGAGGCTAGTTGAAGAACATGGGCCAAGAAACTGGTCTATTATAAGTAAATCAATGCCGGGTCGATCCGGAAAATCTTGTAGGCTCCGTTGGTGTAACCAGCTCTCTCCTCAAGTGGAGCACCGCCCTTTTACTGCTGAAGAAGATGAAACTATTCTCAAAGCCCATGCTAAGTTCGGTAATAAATGGGCTACGATAGCCCGTTTGTTGTCGGGTCGAACCGATAACTCCATCAAGAACCACTGGAACTCGACGCTTAAGCGAAAGTGTCCTTCCACGTCGGCTGATTTGTCATTCGAAACTCCTAAGCAGCCGCTGAAGCGATCGTCCAGTATTGGGCCGGGTACAATATCAATGAATCCGGGTAGTCCATCTGAATCCGACTTGAGCGATTCGGGTTTTCCTGGGTTTCCTCAGTCGAATGTTTATCGAGCTGTCACCCGACCCGGTGAAGTTTTGCCTCCGTCGGTACCCGACCCACCAACATCTCTGAGTCTTTCTTTACCCGGATCCGGATTCAAAGAAACTACGGGTCGGGTAACCCCACAAGTAGCTGAACCGGCTCCGGCACCAGAACCCGCACTATCTTCAGCTCCGGGTTTAATGCCCCAGGATCTTCCAGTAACTGAGAATTACAGTTTTGGTCCTTCAATTATGGAGAAACAGTTATTTAGCCCAGAATTTTTGGCAGTTTTGCAAGATATGATACATAAGGAAGTCAAAAATTATATGTCAGGGTTTGAGGATAAAGATTAACGGGGTTACTATGCACACAGAAGCAATAAAGAATGCTTTTGTAAAGCGCATTGGCTAATGCAAGATTGAGTGAATGGATAGTAGTAATAGTAAGTTTTTTAGGTAATACATTTGTAGTATTCCATCTTGCTTCTACAAAAGAAAATAATTTTGAATGGATGTGGAAAAAATGAGAGCAGCTAAAAATATGTTCATAAGAAAGAATGTGGAGAAAGCAATACATGAAAAAAGAATTGAATATGAATTTTCCATATCTTTTGACGAATTCTGTCTAAAATTGGAAGAATTGAGAAAGAGTCAGTTTTCTTCATTTTTATTCGGTCATTTTTATGTTTTAAGTGTACACTCGTAGAAAAAACCATTTAAAGTGTTTACTTTAATTAATAATTATACTACTAGAGCAGTAAGGGCGAAATTAAAATGAAAATTAATGCATATTTTGGAATACATTTTTCTTTGTGGTGACAAATAAAAGAGGACAGATGAAAATAGTACTAGAAAATAAGTAATGGGAGGGAGTATTAGAGCCCATTTGGATGGGCTTGTTTTAAGTGACTTTTAAGCCAAAATAGCTTTTAAGCTATAAGTTAGGAATTCTAATTTTTGGCTTTTGGCTTCTTTTTATCATTTTAGCTTAAAAATAAGTGCTTAAAAGCACTTTTGTACTTTATCCAAACACTACAAAATAACTTAAAATCTATTTTGGCTTAAAAACACTTAAAACAAGTCAAACCAAACGGGCTCTTAGTTATAGGGTCAACATTGGAACTTGGAGGTCGGTTATGATTGAAAGATTTTGTTTGGTTATCAAACTCCTATTAGTGTTGTCATCGGGAAGTGAATTTTTGACTCCATAGCTTAGTGACTAAAGTTCAGTTAGATGTTTGAAAATGAATAATAGTGGTTCGCTTACAGCTAATGGCAGCCTGTTGACAGGATTTAGGCCTTATTTTGTTTTTTTTTTTAAAGATTAAGACATCTGAATCTGAATACACATCTGAATATCAAGATGTGTATTGAGATTAAGATATCTGAATCTAAATACACATCTGAATATATTAAGATGTGTATTAAGATCTGAATAATAAAAATTAAGACTGTTTGATTTTTAACATCTGAATGCATAAAATTTATCTTTATTTGAAAAAAAAAATCTAACATTCTATCACTAAAATATATAATTTTTTAAAATATGATAGTTGTTGGTGGTGATGGCTAACGGGTGAATGCCGACTAAAGGCGGTGGTTGGTGGTAGTTTTGGTTGATGATGGTGGTTCATGCTAGTAGCTAGTAGTGATTGGTAGTGGTTGCAATTATGATTGATGATGGTGGTTGTGGGTAGTGATAGTTAATAATGGCGGGTGATAGTTTGTGATTGAGGAAGGTGGTGGTAGGTTATAATGATGGGCGGTGCCGGCTGTGGTTGTTAATGGTGATGGGGTGGTTGATTGTGGTAGTTGAGGTGGATAAGTGTTGACTGTGGGTGAGAATGATGGTGGTTAGAGTGGTGAGATGGTGGATGGTGATGGTCGATAAAGGTGGCGACTATGATTGAGGATGATAGTGGCGTGGTGGTGGTGGTAGTGGCGGTGGTGGTGGTGATGGTGGTGGTGGCATGGTGGTAGTTGATAATGGTAGGCGGTGGCGGCAGTTAATAATGAATATGTGATAGTATCTTGATGAAATTAAGTCTCTGTTACAGATCTTAATCATACAGACCTATTCAGACCCATTAAGTGGTTGTTAAGTAAAAAAAACCAAACACACTTAATGATGAATATCTGAATAATTAAGATTCAGACTTTAAAAACAAACACACTTAATGTCTGAGATCTGAATGATTAAAATTCAGACCTCCATTAAGTGCAAACAAATGAGGCCTTAGTCAAATACTTGCTCTTTTTGTGTGCTTTGAGTTTTTAGGATGCTTATTCTAGTTATTGTTGACGACCAATTTTGACCCTCCCTTTTAAAATTAATTTACTTGTACATAATAATTTACAATAAATATTTTGGAAGTATTTTTTATCGATAAATATCTATTTTTATAAATGATTAAGTATCAGTTTTGAAATTAATCACCCAATATTAGTATTATGTAATTACAAATGTACTTACTATTTTAATAATATTAAAACATATTTATACACACCACATAGGCTTTATAATTAATTTAATAAAAAGTTTCTCAATTTTAGTTGAATAGGTTATTGTTCTAATAGTTTAAAATTAGTGTCATTATTTAGAAAACAAAATATGTACAAATAATTGATACAATAATTAGTAGTATATTTGATAATTATAATTTTGCTATATTTTATTTAAAAAAATTAAGTTTATTTAAATTAATTTTAAAGAGGTTAAAGAGTAAACGACCATAATTGCAATCGCATTCCTAATCACAAATTGGCTATTTTCTAGATCAAAATCGGCCTAATGCACCAGCACAATCCGAAAATAACCCAGGTCCAATTCCTCACTCTCCACTTTGGCAATTCAGGCCACTCCCATTGAACCAATGAGACTGTGCCATGTTACTCGCCTACTCACTCACAAAATTAACACAACAATTTGGGGCTGTCCGTTTCTTAGATCGACAGCCCACGACTTTTAACTCTATTTTCCCTTTAATTTTTAAACGCGCAGAGTTTTTAATCTTGATAGTTGTATCACAAATATTCAAAGGCCACCAAACTTTTCCACAAAATAGTTTAATCCCTAAATATCCGAAATGTTGATCTAACAGATCAACGACCTAGATCAACTCCCTCATTCTTAATTTAGAGACTCCCCCTCAATCTTCTAACCCTAATTGTTGATACCCAATTTTTCCCTATATATTTTTAATACTTTCAAAATAGCATATATGCATATATAAGCATGCATAAGTATTTTTATAATTTTTAAAGGCTTCAAATTAATTTATTTCTCCCCTTTTTACTCATAAAATTTCCAATAATTATCCTTCAAATTATTTTTGTGGTGATTTAGTCATCTAAATCTATATTTATGCCAAAATATTGCTTGAATATTTTTAGTGCATTTTTTTAATTGCATTTATATTTTTAAAGCCAATTTGCATATATTTTGCAATACTAGCCTTGTTAATGCATAATTACGTTATTAATGCATAAAATGGTCTTTTGTATTTCTCAAATGTTAAACAACTATTTTAAATTATTTTTAGTACACGAAATATTTTTTAGAAATCATTTTATCATTTTTTATAAATTATATAGTACTGAAAGTGGCTATTTAAAATCTAGCCGATTATATTTCAATTTCAGCCCAATTCCAACCCCTTCCCAATCCCAATTTAGCCCAAACCAGACCCCAAATTACCCAGCCCAATTTAGGAACACCTACCCGACCTAAAACCCCATCAGATCGTGGCCGTTGATCTAAAAAATCAATGGCCCCCGTTAAAACCTTCCTTTTTTATTCCTAATAACCCTTAACCCTAAATCACTTCTATACACCCGCCGTCTTGAAATCCTCTCTGCTCTCAGCACTCTCAACCTAAACCCTAATCTCCAAACGCCGACCCCCCATCTATGGCCATCTCCGGTGACCTCTCACCATTTCCCAGGCCTCCAATGACTTCTCTCATGTCATTTTTGCCATCTCTAAGGCCCTCAAGGGACCAGCGACTTGCATCTAGGGTTCATCTCTTGCTTGTTCTTGGCCATTCCGGTGTGATTTCGAGTGAAATCGTTCTATGTTAGCTACGATCTAAGGGTTTTTCAATATGTTTCTTCATCTCTGTTTGATTCTCTTCGAAACCCTAATTTCGTTTCTAAACCTCCTAGATCTGTGACATTTGAGTTTTCTTCTTGTGTGTTTTACAATAGCCTTGAGATTCTCTACAAGAATTTATTTCAAGTGATTTCTTTATCTTTTCTAAAATCAGGGTTTTCGGAATTTCTTTTTAAACTTTGTTTAATGATTCTTTGTATTTGAACTTCTGATTCTCACACATTTCTACTGATTTTATGAACCTGCTGCAACGCAAGCCCGTTTGTACTAAGAACCCTAATATTTTGGGGTTTCCGGAAACCCTAATCAGGATTTCCGGAATTTCTTTTTAAACTTTGTTTAATGATTCTTTGTGTTTGAACTTCTGATTCTCACACATTTCTACTGATTTTATGAACCTGCTGCAACCAAGCCCGTTTGTACTAAGAACCCTAATATTTTGGGATTCTTCGTTTGGGTACTTCTGATTGTGTTCTTGTCTTGGATTCTTGTGACTTCGCATGATTTACTTGCCCTAGTATGCTTCTACTAAATTTCTTTAGTTCAAACTTTCGCTGATATTATGAACTTGTGTTTATACTAGCCATTCATGCAAAACTTGTATGCTTCCCTTTGAATCAGTATCGCTTAACCATGGGTTTTGTTAAGGCTGTATGAAATCCTGACTATTCATGCTCTACCTCATTTTATATGCTAATCATGCTGCTTCTTTCATGACTGTGGACATGTAATTTTGACCCGCACATCAAAATTATCTTTAATAGTCCTAGTATTTTTAGGATATTTATTTGAGTTTATTTCTATAGTATTTCACTTTATTATTAATTTTAATTCTACTTTTTATGCACAAAAAATTGAAAAATACAAAAATAGTTTCACTATTCTATTTAATTCAATATTAGGTATTTTTAGAAAGATATATTACTTTTAATCTATTTTATTCAATATAATCCTTGAAAATACCTAAAATAGTTTGAACTTTAAATTTTAGTTTTTATTTTAAATATAGTAGTTTATTAAAATCAATTAAGAGTTATATTTTCTTATAAGTATGTTATATCACTTTAGAAGTAAATTGAAATTTGAGAAATTATCATAAAGCACTATCTTTTAGTAGTAATTAGCCATCTATAGATACCATTTGCTATATTACGGATTATAGATACCTTTTATGTGGTTATAAGATGTATTTGATGTATTTAAGCTATTGTATTCATGAATACAGTATCAAAAATAGGCGTGAATCAGGGAAGTCCAGCTAATCAGTTGTTGTATTCGAGTGTATTCGAGTGTATTCATGGAGTGAAACATGGGATTACAACTGACAGATTATTGCATTCGACTGTATTCACGGTGTCATATAGGAGATTACACTGTTTTTAAAATGGAAAGTGAATCAATTAACATAATAGACTCCTAATATAACTCAACAAACTCAATTATAACACACAAATTTTGTATTTTCAGTTATAAAAAAGATTCTCAACCAAAAAATACCCCAAAAACAT